AAAAAAAAAAAAAAAAGAATGATGGTGTTTTAATGAGGATTTCATGAAATCTGTAGATTACTTTGGGTAGTATGGACATTTTAACAATGATGGTTCTCCCCAGCCATGAACATGGTCTGTTCTTCCATTTGTTAATGTCTTCTGCTATTCAGTGTGTCAAGTAAGTGTTCTTTTGCATCTGGCTAGCTATCCTGGTGACTCATGCAGCAAGCTGCAGTTTAGAAAGTCCTTGGCAGAAGTTCCTGTTACAGGTATATGCGCACAGAAGCCGTCCAGAGAGTCATGGGTGTGTGTGAATCAAGACCCTCCCTTCTCGGCCTCCCAGTTGTATTTACTTACTTTGCTAATGTGCCACAGTGAGTCTATTCTGATCCTGACACCTTTCACAGACAGAAAGAGAAAGAGAGAGAGAGAGAGAATAATCATGTGATTTCAATTCAAAGTGATGGATGAGACTATAACCAGTGCTCTGAGGGACTGACCAGGGTCAGAGAAGGGCTCCCACAGGGAGAGACATCTCAGTGGGGACAAGGGCCAGGAGTGGGTTTAGTCAGGCCAAGGAGGAAAAGGAGCAGTGTTCTCAAGGGCTTGGGGTTCGGACAGAGTAGATGTCTTTAGAGGAATTGAAAGAAGCTTGACTCAGACCTAAAAATAGATTCCCAAGAGAGAAGTACTGACAGTACTGAAGAGGCCTCTGGGAGTCACATTTTTGGGAGCCACATTTGGGCACCGTGGGATTGACCTTGAGAGGCTGACTCTTTGAAAGGCAACTGGAGACTATTTGGAAGGTCATAGCCTATGATGGAAGTTGTATTTTTAGAAAATTCCTCTGGGTGCTATTGTAAGACTGGCAGGCAGGAGGCAGCACTGTGGGTGGGGAGCTGTTGCTCCAGTGATGTGGGGCAGGGTGGTGGCTGCTGGTGCAGAGCAAAGTGGAGGAATGGAAAAGTGCACAGGAGACACAGCTGATGGCCAGGGGCATGAGTGGTGGGGCCAGCACAGGGAAAGGACAAGAGGGACACACAGGACAGTGCCCAGTTTTCTAGCTGGGGAAGTACAGAGAAGGATAGGTCTGCACAGGCAGCTTTTACAGGTGGTAACTGAAACTCTGGGAACAATGATTGTTGATGGTGAATGTGCCAGGCGAAAGAGAGGCCAAGGGGGGCTATTGAGGAAGGGAAGTGGGAGGAGGCAACAGGGTGGGTGAGAATCAGTAGGGCATGGGTTGTGAAAGACCAAGGAAGAGAGTGGGCACCTGGCTCAGTGTGGTCCAGAAGTAACACAGTGTCTGTTATACATAGTGCTGGGCACTCACTGTCGCCTCAGAGGGGTGAGATTCAGTGGAGTGGGGGGAACAAAGGCTATGTTGCTGGGGATCGTGAGGTGGTTTTCTTGGTTTTGGTTTTCATCTCTGTGTACTTTGGTAAGAGACATCTAGTCAATATCATCCAGACAATGGATGAAATAATGAATTAATGATTGAAGGAGTGAGTGAAGCAAATTCTGCTTCCCAGAGTGACTTTCTTCATTTTCCTTCACCCAATGCTAGCTTCCTGGTGGGCCAAGATGGTGGTGTGTACAAAGGGGTTGGCTGGCACATCCAGGGCTCGCACACCTATGGCTACAATGACATTGCCTTGGGGACTGCCTTCATGGGCCACTTTGTAGGTAAGAGGACATAGGGTCTTGGGGTGAAGCATCACGTGGACTGTCTGGGAAGTGCAGGAGGAAGGCAACAAGGCAGTGCCCAGTGGTGGCAGTGGCACATTTTAGCTTTAAGTGGACTTTCAACACAGGATGAAATGTCACCAGGACCCCCTCTCAGTCAGCATTTACCCCAAGCCCACCCACCCTGTCCTCAGCTCCATTTCCTATCATATCCAGGGCTAGCATGATGTAAGGGAGAAAAAACTTTTTGCAGGCTTTGGTGCCTTTATGGCTCACTTGGCCAATGCATCTCCTTCTTTGGTGGCCACAGCAACAACACTGGGGGCACTGTAGCTTGAGTGGCAATGCAGCAAATGGTCTAGTGATGTCACCCTGCTCCGTCCCTATGTCGAGGGGCTGTGTGGCACTGTAGTTTTCCTCCAGAGAGGTCTCTAACTTTCTGGAAGAGGTTTTGCACAGAGGAATCAGGGAACATGATGGCCTTCTTTTCTTTCTGTGTCTGATTGCCACAATTTATGTGAATTTGTTGGTGATGAAGATGGTGGGACAGGGCAGAGTGGGAGAGAGGGAGACTAGAATCCAGTGCTTCCCCTTCCCTAATCAAGAGATTTGTGAGACCCTAATGACTGATGGGGAAATGTGTTTTGCAGAAAAGCCTCCAAATGCTGTGGCGCTGGAGGCAGCCCAGGACCTGATCCAGTGCGCCGTGGTCAAGGGGTACCTGGCTCCTGACTACCTGCTGGTGGGCCACAGTGATGTGACCAGCACCCCGTCCCCTGGGCAGGCTTTGTACAACATCATCAGAACCTGGCCTCACTTCAAGCACTAAGGGGCCCTGGGCCCTTCCCAGACGTGGTTCCCCCACCCCCTTGCCACTGCTGGCTCGCCTGTCCTCATCAAACACCCTGGCTCAGCCCCTGGGTCCCCTGCAGTGGCAGCCTAGTCTGCCCCGTCCCTCAGGTTAGGATGACCAAGTCCTCTGCTGCTGGCATCCTCCAGGGGCAACAAGCCTATGGGTGGGCAGACATAGCCCTCTTAGTTTGAGCCCAGCCGGCCTTGCACCTCACCTTCCTCCCTGGTACCCACTTGCACAGGCAGGTGAGACAATGGCCCATCCTGCTGTGCTTCTGTCTCCCAACATGCACCCCTGCCTGGTGGCTCCTGCCATCTGCCCATGTCCTGTCCC